TGTCTGGCCCAGCACCAGATGCCAAAGGCAGCTCACTGAGATCCCTCCCCAGCTCCCCACAGGCACAGCAAGCCCTGGGAGGGCTGGGCAGCACGGCAGGCACGCTGCAAGCACCCAGGGGGGAGTGCTGGGCTGCCTCTCCTCCCCACACGCCAGACCAGTCACCAACCGCCTCCTTGCCCAGGAGAAGCGGAATTTCCTTCCCGCAGGAGCCAGAGCTCCTTCCTGCCCGACTGCCTGTGGGTGCTTCCTGCCTTCATGGAAACTTTGCTGAAAGTTAAGCCCTGGGTAGCTAAGAGGCGCTGGAACATTGACAGGCTGATCTAGTTCCAGGCTTGACTTTCTTCCAAACATGCAGAGAGCTGCTTTGGGTTGGGAGGGAGTGGCAGGAGCCTCCTGCAGACCCCAGAGCCCCTCCTTTCTCTACCATTCTCGGGCTGGGGATAAAAATCCCACTCAGGGAACTAAAGGACCTTCTGTTCCCAACCCCAGCTTCACACTTAGCCCCTTGCTCCTGCTGCCATGCCTGCACCCCAAGCCAGGAGGGGACACACTCTGCTACAGACACCCATCTTACCCAGCCTGGAGTGAAGCCTCTCCAACACCCCTGGCACCCAGGGAGCTGGGTGGGCCTGAAGCCCCCACTCATCAAAGCCAGCATGACTTGGGATGGCTCTAACCCATGGGCCAGGCTGCCATGACTCATGGAATGCTCTTCTCCCCTTCCTTTGAAAGGAGCAGACACCACAGCTGGGATCAGCTCGCTGGCATGAGGCTGATGCTGCTTTTGATTTCTGGAACCCAAACCTCGCTGGGTCCCAAGGGCACTTCCAGCCTGATGATGAATCCTGCCCTCAGCACCCTGGTGCTGCCAGGAGCACTTGAGATGTGCTGATGGGACCCTGCCCAGCCCCAGAGCCCTTGAAGCAGCACCGCTCCTGGTCAGGGACCAGGAAAGGGGACAAAACCCCCCCAGTCCCTCCCACGGCTGCTGGGGCGATGGCAGCAGCGCTCAACAGGTGCACGGGCTGCATCCCCAGCACAGACACAAATCTTGGAGTCCACTTCAAAGGCATGTGAGCTCCAGGAGGGGGTTTGAAAAGGAGCCTGTCGGGAGGCAGCGCCGGCAGCGTGGGCTTTTGTCACCAAACCCCGCGGAGAGGCAGGGAAAACAGTTGCGTGCGTGTTGGGTGGCTGGGGCTCCTGCGTCTGCCGCCTTCGCAGCTCCCATCCTGCAACATTTGTGCTGGCTCACAGGAGCCAGAAAGTGGAACAGGCACGTCTGGAGCCACCTCCTGCATTTAGCAGCCAGCAGATCACGCCGATAAAGGAGCTGAAAACGCTGGCGGGAGCGATTTCTGACTCGTCACTCGTTACTTACACAGGGAAGGAATTTGTTAACGTAATTTTTAGCCTGACAACATCTCTGAAAGCTGCGATGGTTCCAGGGCTGCCTGCCAGCCCCCCAGCCCCCTCCCCCAGGTGAAACAAGCCCCCGGGAGGGTGTGAGGAAAGCTGCTCTGCTCCTGCCACCGGGCCAGCCCCGGCCCCGCACCGAACCCGGCAGCGCTCGCAAGCCCTTGTGCAAACTCTCCATGCCGAAAACACCTCGACCGGCCTCATCTGCAGCCCCCCCAGGCTTGGGCTTGGCATCTTACCCAGAGCGGGGGCCTCCCCAGAGCTACCGAGCGCCCTGTCCAGCCCTGGGAGCACCAGCAGCACGCGGAGCCCGGCGGGACGTGTCCGGCTTCGGCACTGAGGGTTAAACGGATGCAAAATCCAGCCCTTGGTGCTGCCCCAGGACGGTGGCACCAGCCCCGTGAGCCACAGGACCCACAGAGCCTCCGGACCTGAAGGCAGTTTTAGCAACGCCGAAGGCAAAGGTTTAATTCAAAGTGAAACGCCTAGGAAAAGAAGGCCTTTCCTTTTACAAACAATTTATATTATTTGACTATTACCTGATCTGAATCTCTGCTCATTACTCCTAGCAGTAGCAGACAACGGCTGTTAGGTTCTTTCTGACGTGTTTGGTGTGTTCCTGTGTGCGCAGAGCAACGTGACATCAGATCACTAGAGATATGCTCAGGAGATCCCATGGGTGAATCCATCCTCCTCAGTACCACTGGTTTTCATTCCTCCTGCGACGCCGCTCGGACCAAGAGAGAGGCAGGATGCTGCTCCTCCCAACTCTGAGCACCACGGGCTCCTCCTCCACAGCTCACATCAGCTGCTGGCTTGGTGTTTTTTTTCCCTCATTTTCTTCTCTCTCTCTCTTTTTTTTCTTTTTTCTTTTTTTTTTTTTCCTTTTCGGCTGCTTCGCTCGACAGAAGTTGTTTTCAAACCACTGGTAAGAAAACATCGTGCCTCACTTCAGTACTTGTACTTCAGAGGAGTACAGCAGCAGAGGGGGAACAGCCAAAACACTGGGCTATTTGTTGGGTGTTTGCTTTTTTTCCTTTTTCAGCCATCTTCTTATGAAGCCTTGTGCACGTTCCGTGCCAGCAATAAACCCCAGTGCTGGGACCTGGAGGGGAGGAGAAGGGGAGGGAAGGAGAAGGGTGTGTGCTCAGCCCCAGCTACACAGTGACCAGCACCAGCACTGGTCTGTCCTGGCACCCGGGGCTGTTATAGATCATGGCACTTGTAGCTGCTGATGGGGCTTGTCCCCACCCAGACACGCTCTGGACCCAACCCAGAGCACCCAGCCCCCTCCTCCAGCCAGGATAGATGGGGCCATCCACAGGCTCACCAAGAAGTGCATGTCCCTGGGTGCTTCTCACCATTTACTGCCCTTCCTTCGATGTCTCCTCCTCCTCCTGGAGCTGATGCCTCCGTGCTTGGAAATCTTCATCTGAAAGGCAGAGGCAGCAGGGGGGCTGGCAAGGGCTGCAGCCTTTTCCACACCAGGACACCAGCCACCGTGCTGTGGTGCCAGCCCCAGTGAGCTGCCCCAGTGGGGAGGATGCCCAGTCCCTGCCCTGCAACAGGGATTTCCTCACCCAGGCAGGCAATCCCCAAGGACTGGGATGTGGGGACTATGCCAAAACACGCCTGAGGATGCTGAGAGGAGGTTTTGGCCCAGGGAGGAAACTACCATGTGGTTGCACCTCACAATCCACTCCACTGCCAAGACCCACCTCTGTACAAACCTGGCTGGTGCCTGATTTACCAGGACTGTGCCCTGACCGTGGGCTACACATCCTGCAGGGCTGCACGGTCTGGCTGTGAGCCACGAGGCTCCCCAAAGGAGGAGATCCTGCCCCCAGTCACCCCAGCAGGCACACGAGAGCCACCCAGGAGCAGGGCCAAGCCTGTTGCATGGGTGGCCATGCCCTGATGGGAGCCATCATGGTGTGGGGCAGGATGGGGCTGGGCACTCCAGGACCTCAGCTAGCTGCACTGAGCATGGCACAGCATGGCACAGCATGGCATGGCACAGCACAGCATGGCACAGCATGGCACAGCTTGGTGTTTCTTACCGCACGAATGTCCTTCAACATCGTCGAGAAGATTTGCTGTGGAAGCTGCTGTCCCCATCCTGAGCCCTTGGCTAAGGAAAACCAGCTGTGGGGCCAGGACGTGGCCACAGCACCACAATCACCCTTCCCAGCCCTCATCCCAGCCATGAGAAGCAGCCAGGAGGCTCCAGCCAGACCGTGGCCTTGGGGAGCATCTGGGAGTGCACCTCCCACACCTCCCCAGCCCCTTTTAGGATACACCTGGTGCTTCAACAAGTGTTTTCTTTTCGATTTCCTCATCTTTGTCTTCTCGGAGAAGGCTCTGGCGAGTTCAAACAGTTTCTTGCGGGTGGCTGGAAGGAAGCAGCTGGGTGAGGGTCTCACCCCAAACCCTAAGCTGCCATGGGTGGTGGAGGAGACAGCCAGGGCCAGCAGTGTGAGAGCCACCTGCACCCCACAGAAATACCTGGGTTTGCCTGGGAATGCCAGGGCCATGCCATGCTGCCAGACTCAGAGAGCCAGGTCCTGCACCCAACAGGGATACACTAGTCCCTGGCAGGGGGTGCTGAGATTTTTACCCTTTCACTGGGATTTTCCTGACCTTCCCTACCCCTGACTGACCCCCATCTCCCCAGCATCTCAGCTGTCTGCAGCCCAACTCCAGCTGCCCAAAGCCCTTGGTCTATTTTGCAACAGGAGAAGTGAGCTGACTTGCTGAGAGAGGAAGAGTTAAAAAAAAAACCAAAAGGGAGTTACCACAAAACCTCCACTTGCTTTTCTAGGATTCACACAAAACCTTCTCTGAAATTCCTCTCTTCCCCAACACCACCTGCATCCTCAACTCGAGCTGCAACCCAGAGGTGCAGAGGAGACCATAAATGCCCCAGCAGAAGTGCTGGAGGACACGCACGAAGCAGCCAATGCTGTGTGAGAAGGGAAGGGGGGCAGCACTTGGGTGGGAACCAGGCAGCACTGCTGGTTCCCTGCTGCCAGCGGCGGGCCTTGCAAACCCCACTCACATTTTCCCATGTGTTTCAGTTTGTCTCTGAATAAGGCATCGTCAGACACGGCACCGCCGGCCTCGCTGGTTGCAGGAGGGGCTATGTCACCTGGAAGGCAAACATCTGGTCACTGGGAGCACCTGTGCAGCCAGGGGAGGCTCGAGACAAATCATTTCCATGACCCAATTCCACAGCTAGTGAAATGCAGCCCTGCCACGAGCAGAGCTGAGCAAGAGTAGGTGGGATAAGGGCACCAGCACTGAGCGGGGCCAGCTTCAGATGGGGACCCTCTGTGGAGAAAACTCCAAGACTGTGGGTGCAGAGACAGTACCTGTGAGCAGACGTGGGAGGAGCAGGGACCCAGTCCCACCACCAGCACGAGTGGGTTAGGCTTCTCTCTGTGCTGTCTCAGAGAGGGAGAATTTGGGAGAGCAGCCCCAAACTGCACTAACTGCACTCTGGGTATTTGATCGTATCCATGCTGTGCTCAGTGGCCAGAGCCACCAGATCAGGAGTAGAAGTTCAGGTCAGGCAGGCCAGAGACCCCAAAGCCATGTCCTCGTGCCTGCCTGGGCTGTGCCCCTTCCCCAGGGTGCCCTGGCAGCGCAGTGCACCCAGCTGCCACCTCCCGCCTGCCCCCGCGCGGGGCCATCGACAGACACCAGCTCTAATTCTGAACAGGGGCAGCTGCTCCTTGCCGAGGTTAATCGGGATTACCTAGGAACAGTCATTATGCCTCCCAGGCACAATCCTGCACTCCAGCCAAGACAAGGGAGAGCTTTGTCTCCCAGCTCCCACCCACAAGGACGGAGGGAGGCAGGGCACAGGAGCATCTCCACAAAGGGAGGGCAGCAGCACCCATCCCCATCACCCACCAGCTCCCCTCCCTCTCTCGGGGAGGGATCAGCCAGTTTCCTCCCCCAGAGCCACCCTGGAGTCAGGTGGGAACACAGGAGCTGCAGGACTTCCCACTGCTCCCCTCCACCAGTTACCTGATATTACAGAGGAGAAACCAAAGTCATTGCTGACAGCAACACTGGTTGACTTGGATTTTTTTGATTCATATTTCAACCGATCTGAAAAACAAAAAGTTCAATCAGATCCCCAAGGCAGTGGACATGGCTCTGCTCCCCCCAGGGCCTCCCCCCAGGGCTGCAGAGGGACAGCCTGGTGGCAAAGGCAGGGAGCTTGGGCTTGGCTCCAGCTCCCCGACCACAAGCCCGCTGCTGGGAGCCTGCAGCAGCAGGTGGGTGCACTCTCCTCTCCCCACAGCACAGGAACCACAAGCACGCAATGAGCACACTGGGGTTATTCCAGCTGGGGGGGAGCTCTGCGGTGAGGACCCTGCAAACCACCAGCAAGACCTCAGAGGGAGACAGCCCCTGGGCATGGGGCTTGGAGAACATTCAGAGGCTCTTTGCTATGGATTTTGCTGGGCTTTGCCAGAGACATGACAAAGAGGTGGGCAGGGGCAGGAGGCAGGCAGCTGAACAGCCCACCACCCGGTTCCAGAGGGTCACACCACCTGCCTCCAGCCTGGCCACATCCTGCGCTGGCTCCACTTCGGCACTAGCCACAATGCCGCAGGCAGGGGAATGCTGCTGGCAGCCAGTGTCCCGGGGGGGGGGA